ACACACCCCTTTTCATTGGAATTCGATGTAAAATTATGAATTTTTCAATACAGAATACATGTATCTAACAGTACCGGCGTTGAATCAATTCAATAGAATCACAATAAAATACTTCGCGAATAAAAGAATCGAATTAATATTGCAAATATTTTAGGTGGATAGAGCCAACCTCAGGTGGCCAAAATACGACCTTAGAAAATCGGATGGATTTCTGGCGATGTCTCGGAGGACACTGTCTGCCTAACAACAGTGTACACGGGACACTGGCCGTTGATGGAGCATGCGGTTAGGTTGATATTGTCTTCAACACAACGTTGCCGCGAAATGGAATTGGACCAATTTTCTGAGTACCCAGTGACTATACTATATGAGATATCAAAGATTATACCATTGGATATTTAGATAAATTCCTCAAGAAAACTGGTTGGCTTAGATAGGTCATCTGTAATCATACGCTCAATAACGGCCTGGTAATCACGGGGTAGTGGTAGTAAAACGGTTTATTTTTGTTAATTAGGATGCGTTGAACCTGCTGCACCGGCCACATCAACCAATCAACCATAGGTAATAATTTAAAATTCACTTTATGAATAATGGATTCTCTCGAAAATTTTCGTCATTAACATCCTGTTTAGTTTAGAGCAATTTATATACACCTTTATTTCTTGCCTTTCCATTGGTGAGGCTTACTATGTATTTATCTCTCATGATTTGGCTAATATAAATATATATGTATTTTAATTTCCGTAAAACTGCTTTCTTAGTAATTTTATTTTAAAAAAATTTTTCCTTTCCAATAAGTTAAGGGGTCCATCATCTCCTCTACCTACAAAATCACAAAAAATAAGGTTTAATAATCTTTTAATGCCTCTTCTAAGAAGTGTACAATTAAGACGAATTACACTAAATTTAATATACTAAAATTTCAACTATATTTATTCAATAATCAACCATTTTGTATAACGTATGATTAATACTTAAGTAGATACGAGTATCAACATTTTCACTCCTCTTTCTTCTTGAAAATATTGTAATTACAATGACATTTTTTATATTAGACCGGCAGATATTGATAACTAGATCACATAACACTTAACAATTTTATTTAATAACTTAAAATTAGTAATAATATTAAATTTAAAAGTAGTTTTTATTAAAAGTTGTCATACAACTGAAATATTTTATCAAGTGAAATCAAAAATTTTTTTTTCAATCTCTTGAAATAATTTCGAAGTAGATATTATATAGTCCGGTCTATAACACTGCCATTAGTATAAAAAAAAAGTAGCTAATTATTTAATTCATTAAATTCACTTAAATTTATGAGATTTTTTAAATATTTTTTCTCCAAAATCCTGTAAATAAATCCTAAAATAAATGGTCTAAAAACTAGTCTCTAAAAAAACTTACCTAAATTCATATAGTAAGGAAATTTCATCATCTGTAATTAATGGCCAACATTTTTATAAATTTCATTTTACACTTTTCATAACAAATCTTTGAGTAGCACCCGATGCAATTCTGTCAACCTGTTCATTATTAAAATGAAAAATAAAAAAATTACTTCCTTGCCAAATATGTAAGAAAATTTTTTTTTGTTTTTTTACTTTTACTCCAATTTATTCAATTTTTATTATTTAATCTATAAATTTTATTACCATACACTTATCCTATATATATATATCTTGTAACTAGTTTATATAGTGTTCGATATTACATCACTTTCTACATTTGCTATTCGATTTCGATCCAGTTAAAATTGATACTTAAAATTAAATTATGTTATACATAAGTGAATTAATGAGCAAATGAAATGAAAAAAAAAAGATTCGATGTGGTCACTATCATCACCGATTGCATTGTGGAGTTGAATAACATTTAAAAATTCCGACAAACCTGTTCTAATAAGTTAAGCGAAAGCTTTACATTTCTTTTGTATACATGGTTTAAGAAATATTGTAAGCTCTCTACTTCATATACTTTAAAAAATTGCAAATTTAGTTTTGGATTTCGTGTTATAAAAGACCATTCTTTCCTGAAAAGTTTGTTAAAACACTTTTGTTTCCGAATAAAGGAAAATTTCAGGAAATTCTAGTAATTATATTGAAAATTTTTTAATGGATAATTTTCCAGTCTCAAATATAGACGGAATAATTTTGTAAAGTTTATTATTTTGAAAACCAGAACTAAAATACATACAAAGTTTCAAAGAAATTTGTTGAATATATTCTCAAAAATGAATTAAATCAACTAAGAGCAGTTACTTAGAACCTGAAATGCAATGCAGTCTTTAAGCCATAGATTCATTCGGCCGAAATAACGCACTAAAACTGAAACTATTTCAATGAACATACTGAAAAATTTTTTTGTTAAAATAGTTTAAGCTAGAATTTAAATAAAGAAGAACAATAATGAAACAATAATCTACTTACCTCCCATACCTAATATGTTTCCGTTTCTCAAACACACAGAATTGCATATCCGTTGATAACTCGACATATTGTTAAATTTGGTATGATAACAATACTTACTTTTCTTATTGCTCGCAGCGACATCAATAAAAATTGTTTTTTTTTTTTTTTTTCATATGTAAAAAACATTATGATCTCCTCCAACATTTTTTTTTTAATGGCTGTAATTAAGTATATAGAAATTAAATAAAGTATAAGATAACACAATTACCTATATTTATACAATTTGCTGTTATATGTGCTTGTTCAAATATTTTTATGATATGATGCTAATTTATATAAAACCATACTAATTATAAGTGAATTTTATAATATATAGGGTGTTATCTATATTAGAACTGTAATAATTAATTCGAAATTTAGGGAATCAAATGATGTGAAAGATCAAAAATTTTAGAGAAATTGGCAGTAAATTTCATGAAAAATTGTAAATTATACATAATTAGATATTTATAATTGTGTGTTTAAATATAGCTCATAGCCGTGGATCCGAAATTTATAAAAGACAATTACCAAATACTGAAATTAATTACAGATAACAATAATATAAAGCTGCTAATAATTCTAAATAGAAAAAATTTTGATGATTAATGATGATAATGGTCTGATGATAAAAAATAAATTCTTCACTTATACTTAATTAATTTTAGTAATTGACTATGTTCTATATTAGTTTAGGGAATAACTGAAGGAATATGACGCCGTTCTTTATAATAAAAGTTAACTTAGAATATTGGATATTATTTAAACAGTGCACCTAGCATGTCAACTCTTAAAGAATAGCTTCCATTCTCCTATAGTACCTCGATAACTTCCTGAAATTCAAGATCTGCTTTAAAAATTGAAAATTTTGAATTTTAAAATTTAATCTTTAAAAAAATATAAAAAAATATTTCAAAACACCCTATATTGGACATGATATACATGCTACATATTCCATTTTCTACTTAAGTGTGATTAGAAAATTGCAATTATCATTATTACATTTAAAAATAGTGAAAATTTCGAAGTTATTTAATGATGTTTGATAACAGAAATTGGAATCCAAGTTAATTTGCTTCCTATTCTGAAAATCTCTGTACCTATGCATACTTTACGAGTATTGAAAGTTGTCGATTTTTTATCATCATGATAAATTGAAAATATTAAGTGAAATAAACTTAAGTTGAATTCAATGAACCTTTAATATAAATTGTGATTTGTGATTTAAGAACTCTTACTCACTCTTATAATAACCACTATTCGATTTTTCCATAAAATTCTCTATTTCAATTCAAAATCGTACAGTAAAAAGGAGGTAAGAAAAATATATAGAAAAAATTTTTATGTCAAGTTAGTATTAAGGACTGCAATTTTTTTTCCTCTGTTTTGTTGTTCTTTTTTTATGGAATATGTCAAAAATTCTTGATTTTATTTTCCTCTTATATTTAGATTTCGTGCAAATCATACGTACATATACATAACATATGAGTAAAATTTCCATTTAATACTTGACACTTCTCAATCTAAATTTCACACCTTGATGACACTTATGTTATTTTTCTCAAGTGTATATATACATCTGTACATATATAAAGATATTTTACCTGTAAATTTTGAATGTAGAATAAAGCTTAAAATAAGAAAGATAGGAAAAGAGAAAAAAAAAAAGCTTGGAAATATTCGCAATGAAAAATTGATATAGAAATTTTTCAAATACTTATATAATATGAAAAAATTTACGATATCATGTACAATATAAAATATGTAATTACATTATTTACGATATGCTACATTAATACAGCAGTACTATAACGATTTTACTGCTACATCTACTATAATGCTACCACGATTCTATTACGGTATTCTATGATGAAATTCAATAATACAAACGATGAAAAATAAATACATTATTTACGATATTGTTCGGTTGTATAGAAAATGTTAAGTCATTATAAAAAAAAATTTATAAAAAATAAATTATAAGTGAGTCTAAGGGATTCGCACCGACATCATATCTCACGATAACCTTCAAGTTCGTAAGTTCTTAATTAACGAATTGAGTATAATATCGTTAATATAGTAGTGACTCTTTCATTTAATCTTAACAATTAGAAAATTGTTGTAATACCAAATTATTTATTTTTTTCCCATTCAAGTAGATTTAAATTCATTTTAAAATTTTTCAGTCAACGGATTTTGAAAAGCAATACCTTTTGAAACTGTAATTTTGAAAATTTAATTTCAGTTTGAGAATACCTGGTACAAATGTATTCAATTGTAATACACCATTGACAACAACCGATATAAAACTATGGAATATATTTCTCTATTGTAGAACTAATTTTTTTTTTCATTCTCATTATGAGAGACACAAACCATTCGTGTATTTACAAAATATGAATAAAATTACGAATATAAATTTTTTTATTTCAGCATTTAAAATTTTATTGCTGAATTATTAAGATACAGCAAGCATTTTAAACGATATTTGTGGAATTTAAAACTTAAAATAATTCTGTAATAATGAAAATAATTTAAATTTAAAAAATGGTTTGTGCATTTGGTAATAGTTTGTGTTCTCAAAATTGTAATTTTCTTGAAAAAATCTAAAAACACAATTTAATTTGAAATAGTTGCATTTTACCGAATCATTCTTATTTAAAATTAAATTACAATTAATTATAATATCTAATAATAATTTCAATTAACATTAATTTAATTTAATTTATTTTTCAGAATTGGAAGGTGAAACTTCAACAAAATTAAAAAATTTACCATGGGGACCTTTATATTGTGTTTTGCAGCAAGATGAATCAACATTTACAGCATATTGCAGTGAAGAGATCTCGGTAGGTTTTCATTATGTATTGTATTAGCTGTGTTGTTTTTTTATAATTAGTAATAAAATTCTCTATTTAATCTTCTCTCTTAAAATATTAAATTCTCTCTTTAATTATTTAAATAAAATACTGTTAATGAATATTCTTAATTAATATACTTATACTATATTTCTTTTCGAAAAAAAAAAATGAATAATATGCTTTCGATATTTAATTTAAAAAAAAATTAATAAACGGATAAAATAAAGATTTTCCCTGCAACACCGAATAAAGAAAAAGAGGTAATTTGTTTTTGTCATTAAACTCACTCATATTTTTTTTCAATCATTTGATTTATTATGTGCTTTTCTTAATTTTTACATTTAATTGCCTTTGTTTTAAAAAATAATTATTTCATTATTCTTGTTTTCCTTTTATTAATTAAAATTCAAGAAAAATTTTTAAAAAATTATTTTGAATTTTTTTAAATGTAATTTTCATTTTTTCATATTGAATTTAGCTGGCCGACATTCTATTTACTGAATGTCCAAGAGTAAGATTAGATCGTATACGTAAACCAAATAAAGTAATATGGAATGGACCACCAACATTAGAAGAAGAACCAGAAGAATATGATGAATATCCAATGGATATTGGAATGAATACAACATTAGGTGAATTAGGTAAGTTTATTAAATTTTTAATTATAATATCATAGTATAATGAACGGCAATTCAAATTTTATTAAAATAATAAATGGTAATTAAATTATATTTATAAATTATAATTCTGATTGTAACAATTATGAAACATCAAATCATTATTTATTTATTTAAAAAATTATTTTATTTAATTAAAGAATATTATTTGAATTATTAAAAGAAAATAACTATAAAATGGTGACTATTAAAGAAAACTCAGCTGCATATTATCAATGTTTCAAACCCTATAAATGATATTATTATAATTAAATAGTAAAGCTACATAACTACAAATAACAATATGCAAGCATATTCCGACATATCAATTACTACACATTCGCATTCAAATATTGAATAGTTACGAAAGAATAAAAATTGAAAAACCAAAGCAAATAATTATAAACAAAACAAGTCGACTACTTTATTCTAGCAGTCGACTCACAAACTCAAACGAAAAAATTATGCTCTCATTTATCACAGTCACAAGCATAGCAGCACAACAATAATAATATTATTGGAGAAAAAAATGTAAACAAGTCAAGCCAAAATAATTTTTCATTATAAAATTATGAAAAATGAGTAGCGGCATTTTACAAGTCGACTCATTTTATTGCTGAATAAAAAAAAAAAAGCTGAGATAAAAACAGAGAAAATATTCAAGCCAAGCAATAATAAATAAAATATGCTGACAACAGTAGTATACTGTTGTGTTGTGTCGTTGTACTGTTGAAAAATAAATTTCTTTTTAATAACAGTCTACTTTTAAATTTCGGAGGTGTTGGTTTAATTGGAATAAAATTTTTTCGGTCGGATTATCATTAAATTTTTTTTTTTTTTTGTGGTATTTTAGGAAATGAAATGCAATATTTTTAATCTAATTAACGGTAAAACAATTGTTTATGTCAAAAAAAAAAATAGTATTGTGTTTTTTTTATAAAAAATTTTGTGTAATTTTTTTTTTATTGCGTTAAAGAAAAATTATTTTATTTAAACAAGTTTTAAATATCAAAAAGAAATATTGAATCATAAAAAAAAAAAATTTAATAATAGATTTTTTGGCGGCGTTTTTTTTTTTTTTTTTGGTTATTAATAATCGCGTATATGTGTATGTATGAAAACTATGATATTCAGACGGTTGCGTACATTATTAGCGGTTTATTTTTATGCGAATTAATGTGTTTTTTTGTTTTTCCCTAATTTTTGGTTTGTTTTTAGTTTTTTTTTTACTTATTTTTGCTTTTAAAGAAATATAATTAATTTGTATACCTACAGGGTGTAATAATATTTTATTTATAAAATGTGAAAATTTAGAATTGAAAATTTATTTTAAGTTTTAAGTGATTTTAAAAATTAAAAAAAAATAATGGCAAAATGTTTTGAAAATTTTTTATAATAATCAAAAAAAAAAAAATGAAATATTTTTAATAAACAACAATATTAATATTTTGAATGAATGCCAAAAATAAAGATCAAGTGCTTTTTTTTTATGCCACTTAACATACAAACGAATACACACTTATATATTTACGTATATGTATGTATGTAATAAACAAAATCTAAAAAATATTTTTCTAATTGGAATTCGGAATTAATTAATTAAACCTGTTTTTTTTTCTATATACTTGTACTTAAATTTTAAAATAAAAATATTTTTAAGGTTTCTTTTCACCCTATTGGAATTTTTATTAGAATTTTTTTTTGTCTCATAGTTTTCGGGAATCGGGAATACACATTATTATTATTGTTATTACAATAGCGTGTATCAATTACAAAATTCAACACAAAAACAAAAAAAAACCTCCTACTAAGATAAAACTATAATGGTATTCTTAACCTAAAAAAAAAAAAACGAAAATAGTTTCCTTTTCTCAGGAATTTCGAAAATAATTTTGTAAAAGCGTACAATTGCATACTGTATGTTCGTATGTATATACAGGTATACGAGTACATAAAAAATATTGTTGGAATACTTGAGAATGCCAACATAAATTTTTCTTTTGAAAATTTTTTAAAGGAAACAAAATGCATTTTATAATAAAATATACATATATATATACGTATGTAAATATGTAAATATAATAAATACGGGAACGTACGTAAATTGTTTGACTATTAACAATAGATCAAAAAAAAAAAAAGAAAGGAACAGGGAGAAGAATTGAGAAAATAAGAAAAAAAAAAAACTAGGTAAAAAGGTTCTTTTTTTTTGTTTTGTTTTTGTAAAACTTCAAAGATTAAAGACGATCCGAATATTAAACTACAAACAGCATCATAACACTATGCATATATTTTATATACATAAGTTGAGAATTATATGGGAATTTCATATATATATAATATATGTATAAGAGTATAAGGCACCCATTTTTAAAAAAATATTCAAATAATGCATTTTGTACCTTATAGTAAGTAGTACACAGGTACCTTATTACAAATACAAGATTATTAAAAATAGGACTTGTTCACAAAATACAAGTGCATGCGTTTATATATTTATATTATATATCGTCGGCTGTATGCTTATCGGCTCCATACGCCACTTTTGCACTTTTTGACTTATGAGTGGATCTATAGGTTTTAAGTGATGCTCTTTCTGTCTGTCTAATCCGTTTTTCTCTATCTCGATCTGCTGCTGAGATACAGAGTGTCAGGTTTGCTCCATAGACTGCATTTTTACGAATTTCTAATGCTTATGTGCCCCATGAACCATTTTTTGGTTGTTGCGGCACAATTTGTATGGAAAAATGAGAACATTTTTACGTTTTTCTTGTGTGCTCTATTTACATAGTACTGTGTGTTAGAGCATTAAAATTCAAAATTATAAAAAATTTTATTTTGCTGCATAGACATTGGAAAAAAACATCACAATACAACAAACATACAAAAAATAGCAACACACATACTGTTGAAGAAACAAAAGAAATGGAAAGGCATACACATGAAAAAAACTTAGCAACAAAGGATAAAGACGTAGATCGAAGCAACATAGATCCAAATCATTGCATCATATGCTATGATTTGCAAAATGTTTTTGCCTTACCAAAAGGATATGCGTCTGCATTTTTTTTACAAAAGAAAGTTAAATGTTTTTAATTTAACTGACACTGCGATGATTCCAAATAAAGAAAAGCTAACATATTGTGTAGTTTGGTCAGAAGCCAATAGTGGAAGAACTGGAAATGACATTTGCAGTGCTTTAGCCAAAATTTTAAATAAAGTATGCCAAGCAAATCCAAATTTAACGAGAATAACTTTATGGAGTGATAGTTGTGTACCCCAGAACAAAAATAAAATTAATGCAACATGTATAAAGTATTTTATAAATTCATCTTTAAATATCAAAGAAATTTTACATAAATATTCTGAACCAGGGCATTCCGAAATTCAGGAGGTTGACTGTGTTCATTCAGTTATTGAAAAGTACTTGAAAAATTTGGAGATACATAGCCCTCTGCACTTAATAAAATTATTAAAAAACATGCAAATGCCTAAAGTCAAGCTCGATGTAGTTCAAATGTTAGATACCGACTTTAAAAACTACTCAGCAATGGCATCCCAATTAAATTACTCGGCTATACCATTTACAAAAGCAAAATATATATTCTACGAAAGCATTTAAAAATGAAACAAAGTACAATAATTAATTCCTAAAACTTAAGCTACGAAAAGGCTGTTAATTTTTTGTAAGAAGTTATTAATTTTTATTTTGAAAACAATTCCTGTATAGATTATAAGAAGAATTTAAATATTTTTATATTATAGTATTGAAAATATAAACAAAGTACAATAAATGATTTTGTAAATGCAGAGGCCAATAGTTTTGTTTGAGTTGTTATACTTTTTTTCATCATGGTAGTATACTCTTATTATTTTTGTTATGAAATTTTCGGAATTTAATAATTTCAATAAAAATTTTTAAAAACATTACTTAAATAACTTGTTTTACTTTATATATTTCAGTACTAAATGCTTAAAATTTTTTTTTAATATTTAATAATAAATTTGTTGTTGTTTTGCATGTTAATTTAATTCCTTTTTTGCTCCACTTCATACATTCCCCTAGTTAATTTGATAATTTTTTGAAAATTTTTGTTTGCTTCATAGTAATATAGTTTTTCCCTTAAAAATATAACGCAAAGCTCCATAACAAAATAAAATTTCAAATTTGCACAAGATCATGGAATATGCAGCAAAGGCCAAAACGACTGGTCTTACAAAAGTTGCAATATTTCAAGAACCGTAAGAGTCCGTAAACTGAAATTTTAAATTAAAACTAAAAATAAAAGTACTATTTCGTATATAAAATATAAAAAAATCCCAGCGCGCAGTTTTTCTTTAATTCTTTGTCAAACTTTCTTTTTCAATTTTCTCGGTTTACAGTGCTTGGCGTATGCGGCCGACAAGCATACAGCCGACGATATATAAATGAATACTTACATATATACGTATGTAAAAATGTGTGTTAGTTTAGTTATGATACGGATGGTTAAACGTTTACATTCAAAAAAGAAGTTAAAGGAATAATTTTTCCTATTGTCATGTTATAGGGCACAGGTATTGGGTAAAGGTACTTTGGTACCTGTTTTATTTTTTTTCATTTTACCTCTAGAAATATTTTTTTTTTTTTTTGTTGTTGTTGTTCTATTGTGTTTATTTTAACATATGTCGTCGGCGGCGCTGTTATTATTTTTTTAATATTTTTTATTTTTGCTGTGTTTTTTTTTTTTTTTTTTGGAAAAATTCTTACACAAAATTCTTATTTTTTGAATAGATTTAATACTTATAGTGAATTTTTTTCGTTTACTTACTGAAATTTTTCATTTTTAAATCAATTCATAATATTGAAAATAAAAAAATATGAATTTTTGTGCTAATAAAGTGCAAAATATAAAATAAATAGAAAGAATGCAAAAAAAAAAAAAAAAATATGAAAATAAGGATCAAATTCGATCGTAAAAATTTTTTAAGGATTTTTTTAAGTT